TGTGTGTGTGTGTGTGTGTCTGTGTGTGTGCGCGCATTTGAATTTTTCCTGTTTTTGGGTGGATTGCAATTGAACTCTGACAAATACAAACAAAATTTCATTAAGCAGCCCTAAATGTTTCATCTTATAATACTAATAATTATAATAATAATTATAATAATAATAACAATAATAATAATAACAATAATAACAATAATAATAACAATAACAATAATAATAATAATAATAACAATAATAACAACAACAACAACAATACAATAATTGTAAAAATGCATAACCTGAATCTCTTCTTATACTCGGTGCGTTCATCCAGTAAAAGTGGCTTCACAGATGCACGAGGTTACCTGAAACGACTGTTTTGGATAAAACTCTGACTGCTGAACCCAGCATTGTCTTAAATATGTTTAAATATGAAATCTTAGCTACTTCTCTTAAGACTCTCATTTCCTACTCTGTGTGCAGTGTTACAGTTTTGAGTTTGAGCTCATGTTTCCTTTTGGTTTTGGAAGTGATTTATCTTTGAGGGCTTTGGTTGTAGTTTTCATTTTGTGCCTCTCTTGTGGCCTTGCATAAAAAATTGAGAACTGCAGGAAACCATTCCATCCTTTAGGTAGTCTTTAATAAAAACCCACTCTGCGTGGTTTGAGTTTGGTCCCAGACTATGGAGATAAAGGATTCATCTTAATATCACTTTGCATAGAGACTGCCTCCTAACAAGGAGACATGTCCTCTTAAGTGGTGCAGCTTGGTTAGGTTAGGCTTGATTCTGCTGTGGTCTGTAGTAATAATACAAACAACTAAACAATCAGTACAGCAAGCAAGCGACATATTCTATACACAAACATAATCCCAGAACTAAGATTACAGAACAGGACTGTATTCAGCAATCAAATGTATCAGTAACGTAAACAATCAGCTCACAGGAGGGTTACAACTAGCACAAATTAGCTTAGTAGCATGAATGGTGCCTTAGCATAAGATTAGTGTACACACACGTGAACAAATACATGTGCTAATATTTAATCTACACGATATCATCAGAACTCACCTTCTGGCATTCACACAGAGCAGTTAACCAAGGAAATACAGCTATCCAGTAAAAAAAACACAGGTGGTGCATTGAAGGAGCTCCAGTATAGAGATGGCTTTCACAGACTATCAGTGGATGAATCATAATACTCTAGAGAAATAACCAACATGTAAATGGTGCGCTTGTCTCTTTGTGGGAGACAGCACCCCACATCATCACACCTTTCCCACAAAGCATGTTGCCCTCAGTATTGCATTCAACAAGTCTTCTCCACACTTCTACCCACTTCCACCTGCCATAGGCAGAATCTGGACTCATCGCTGAAATATGGGCCTGACGATGAAGGGCAGTCATGGCAGGACTCCTGGCAGAGACCAGACAGGCTGTGTGCAGTTTGTTCTGGATTGTCTGGGTAGAG